AAGCACGATCCCTGGCCCATAATAGCCAGAGGACACAGAAGACCCTAAAGAGTTGCGACACCGCGCGCCGTCTCCCAACAACCCTGAGCTGTGACACCGCGTCATCTCCGGACAACCCTGAGCTGTGATGTTGTGATGCTGCGATGCTGCGTCATCTCCGGACGACCCTGAGCCTACAATAAAGAGACGACCCTAAAGAGACACTGCGTCGTCTCCATGCTGTAATAGTGCGCCGTTCCTCCCGTCTCTCACTCCTTCCCTCAGGAAACCTGTTCTACTGTCCCGCAGGCCGGGACAGGAGAGGCTTTGGGAGAATTAAAACGAATTATACCAGCAAGCAGAGAAACCACGATCGGACAGGAAAGCGTGGCTGTGGGCTTCCTGGCAGGCGCAGGGAGAGAATGAAGCCTCACATAGTCAACATCAGATAAAGCACGATGCAGCAGGGCCAGCTTTCCCAGCTGCAAGGACACGGCCCATGCGCTTTCCGGGAGCGTAGGGACCGTCCAGGGCAGGTGCGGTGCTCTCACTCTTCCTAATGTTAAGTCTTAAAACAGCCTTCAGGAGGGCGGGGCACGGCTGGGAAACAGGGCTGCTATGTGTGGTTTCTCGGCGATTCGACAACACTTTGGTCACGGTGCTGGGAGATACAAGGAGAAAGTCACAGCGGTCTGTGACAACATCGGGAGGCCGTGGTCACCGGGCTGCCCCACTGCCCTGCAAACTGGGCTGTCATCACAATGGAGAGGCAACTGGGAAAGTTCTATAAAGAACAATTTTCCAAACACTGGCTTCCTGTCAATACCTAGGGCATTTGCTGGTGAACATTATGTTCGCTTGTTTACAATCAGATTGGTTTGTGGGGGTTTTTTTGTTGTTGTTGTTTTGTTTTTGTTTTTTGAGAGAAAGGGAACGAGAAATCACCCCCTCGGGGGGATGGCCATGCCGCAATTCCTTCTCCTCCTTGGATTTTGGGCATGCACACACATGTGTCCAGCGAGTTTCAAACTGCTGGGTCCGGGACTCAAACTGCAATTGACCACATGTGAGTCCAGCGCCCTAACCACCATGCCACCTGCTGGCCCCTATAATCGGATTCTTAAGACCAAACACAACAGCATTCTCTTCACATCTGCACTGGTGAACGCGAGGGTGGGAGGGAATGTGACTCAGAAGTGCCCATTCTCCAGCTGCAGGACTAAGATTAGGAAGACAGCACACGTACTCCATGGGAGCCTGACCCCTGGTCATGCTAACTGGAAATCGTCCAAACAGGGCCATAAAATACTGCAGTGCCTGAGTCTCTGTAAAATTAACCTCCATCCATAGGTCTAACTCAGAGCAGCTCAAGCACTGAGGATCAATTTTGAGTGAGCCCAGGTTAAATTTCCCAGAGGGCCAGCAGGTGGCGTAGTGGTTAAGGTGCTGGACACTCCCACATGGCCCACCAAGGTCAAAGTCCTGGATCTGGTGGCTTGCTTTCCCACTCTCCCTCTCTCTCTAAATTTCCCAGAATTGACAAACAAAAAAAACCTACAGGACCAGAAGTTAGAGTAATGGGTATGTTGCTGAATTCCCATGTAGTTGATCATAGTTCGAGTCCCGGACCTGGTGGCTTAAAACTCACGCCGGGCGCGTGTGCGTGCGTGCCCAAGATCCCGAGAGGAGAATGGAGGAGAAGGGATTGCAACGTGGCCATCTCCCCTGGCGGATGATTTCTCGCTTTCTGTCTCTCTGTCTCTGTTTGTCTGGCGAGCGCACGCACCCTATAGCAATAGAAAACCTCTCCAAAAAAAAAAAGAAAGAAAAGAAACAAAAAAACACGCTGGTCCAACCCAGTGACATGGTGGTGGAGGTGGCTGGATCCCACATAACTACGATTTGCATCCCAGACCCTGCATTTGAAAAACATGGGGGGCTTATGTACGTGCATGTGTGCCCCCAATCCCAGGGGGTTGAAATGGAGAACAGACTGTGGCCTGGCCGTGGCCTGTGCTTTCTCACTTTCCTTCTCTCTCTCTCTCTCTTTGGTGAGTGCATAAACCCTTGAGAATTTTTTTTTTAAAGAAAGCAGCAGGAAAGTGGCCGGCAGGTGGCATGGTGGTTAAGGGTGCAGGGCTCCCACATGGTAGATGAAGGTTCGAGTCCCGGACCTTCCCTCTCGCTTTCTCTCATGTACTCTGTCTCTCGCTGGTCAAATTAAAATAAATAAAGTTTAATAAAATAATTCATGTTTTAAAAAAAGAAAGAAGCACAAAAACATTCATCTTTGTAACTTTTGATATCTGGCTTTGGCACCTCCTCAGAAACAACCAGGAGACCAGGGAGACTCTAGGTGTGTGCTCAGCGAGCTCCTCCCAGACCGCCCATCTCCCAAGCACCTCTCCTCCCATCCTTAACCTGTGACAGAAGCAAATTGATGGCAGCAGCCGCTTTGAGTGACAGGCTTCGGGCTATGGAGCTACCGCTACTGAGAAGAGCTCGCCCCTCCAGCCCCTGCGTTAGCGCCCAGAGCGAGCACAAGGGCGCACCTACAAGAGTTCTCCGAGCTCCGCCTGCACACCAAGGGGACAAGGGGTTTGCGCGGTGATGTCGCGGCAGTCCCACAGGCCGCTCCCTCCACCCTGGACACCCCTGTTACTTCATTCCAGCTCAAAATTCGCCTTCTCAAGGCTCCGTGTAAAAGCCAATCCACCAGCGTGGGCGCTGATCTCTGCGCGCGGGGCCTGTGAGTGGGTACCCCTCTCCCAGGCTCAGCACTGCGGATCTGCCACTCCCACTTGTCTTCTGGGGCTGGTGGCAGTGCCCCTGCTATCCTCCTCTGAGGCATCTGAAACTGTGGGCATCACCTCTTTTTCAAAAACTTCACGTTCAGGACCAGCAGTTGGCGCCAATGGCTATGTCGCTAGACTCCCATGTAGTCAACCGTGGTTCAAGTCCTGGACCTGATGGCTTAAACTGACGCAGGGCGCATATGCGTGCATACCCAAGATCCCAAAAGGAGAATGTAAGAGAAGGGATTGCAGCGTGACCACCCCCCCGGGGGGTGATTTCTCGTGTTCTGTCTCTGTCTCCCTCTTTCTGGAGAGTGCATGTGCCCTATAGCAAAAACCTCTCCAATAAAACAAAACAAAACAAAACTTCTCACTCAAGAGAAGACCATCTGCACTGAGCCCTGTGTGAAGCCACCTGCCGGAGCCTGCTCTGGCCTGCCCAAGCCTACCCCAGCTTGCCCCAGCCTGCCTGAGCCTACCCGGGGATCTGTGACCAGCGCCCTGGCAGCTCCGAGGAAATGCTGACTCTACATTTTAACAAGATCCCAGGTGACACGAGGCAGAACCTGGGCCGTAGTAGTGTGGATAAACACGGATAAACACGAGGATGCCAGCCTCTTGTGGGAGGATATCAACGTGGAGACCCCAGGAGGGGTCCTGGTGCCCAGGAGGAACAGCAGTGTGGGCTTGGGGCCGGCCCAGGACACGGTTCCACCCACTCGCTACCTGGGGCACTGTCTGGGGAAGGTTTCCAGAATCTCGGTGGGGAGCACTCAGCCACTTCCTTATCTGGCTCGGAAGACCTTGGTGAATTATAAATTCTCTAACTAGGAAGCAGGGCAGCCTGACAGTGGTAGCTTTTACGCGGCGCTGAGGGTAACCGAGGTCGACTTACTGCTGTCTCCATTTTTTGGCCGTTGCACCACACGTCCATGGTGTCTTTCTCTGGAAAAGAAACACATTTTTACAAGTTGTAGTTCTATGGCTTAAAGCTAACTTTCCATATTTATTATCTTAGGAAAATTCGGATGCACTGGATTTCTAAAACTCCATTAATATTCCAAAATTCAATCATGGCTTTGAAACTCTCCCAGAAATTGTGTTTATTCTTTTTTTTTTAAGATTTATTTTATTTATTCATTCATTTATTTTAATTTGACCAGAAAGAGAGACAGACAGAGAGAGAGAGAGAGAAAGTGAGAAAGCAAGCTACCAAGTCCAGGATTTGAACCGTGGTCAGCCATGTGGGAGTGTCCAGCACCTTAACCACCACGCCACCTGCTGATCCCGAAATTGTGTTTATTCTTAATTCACAGACGAAACAGAAAACTGAAACTAAACTGTCTTTTCAGAGAAAATCCCGGTCCCTTACGAATTGACGAAGTCTTGTTAAAGAAAACAAACACACTCGAGGTCAGTCTTTGAAGGAAAACATACGAATGGACGTGAGGCAGGACCTTTCCACGCAGGCTGTCCTCCCACATCGGTGACCGCGTGGCTGCCCCTGCCTCTCGCACCGACCCAACTGGATGCTGCCCCTGGGGCCGTGAGGACAGACGGCGTGTCAGGCTTCGATGTTTGGTCTGGCTTCCTTACTGGGCAGCACGATACCATGCATTTTTATAACGGTTTCACTGTGAACGAAGGTTATTGGGTGATAGAGGAAAAAAAAGCACAGCTTACGGCCAGCACAATCTGGAACAGCCTGGAACAAAACACTCCCACAACGCTACCTGCACTGGTCCAGAGGTCACCGCAGGGCAGGGAGGCCCCAGAGCACCCTGCAAACGCTCTGGGGAGTGGCGGGAGAGAAGGGTACATTCACCAGGAACCCAGAGATGACGAGAGCAAGGAGTGTGACCCGTGTGTGCACAGCCGGGGTCACAGCCCTGGACAAGGATGAGGCGCCCGGCGGGGTTTGACTGGAGGCCGTCTGCTCCAGGGACACGGTCTGAAGGGGGTTCTCTTCTCCCCACTCTGTGAGATGGGACCCTCGCTTAGAGACGGGAGAGAGGCGGAGGGTGCAGGAGGTCTGGGCAGGGGTCACCCCAGGGGCAGCTTGAGCGGGAAGCACCCACCATCACAGTGCAGGGCAGGCCAGCTGGTCTCGGGGCGCATGGTGGAAGATAAGCCGCACTGGTGTGGACAACTGGCATTTGTTTAGCTCCTGAGTGTGTAAGTGTTTCCGGGTTTCCTGTAATCGCTATGGCAGGCCTCTGACACTGCTAACCCAGAAACCATAAAAGCAAAATAGAATAAACGTGACTAGATTGAAGAAAAACAAAAGCTTCTAGAGACCAGCAGTTAGCATAATGGCTATGTCGCTGGACTCCCATGTAGCCGACTGCGGTTCAAGTCCTGGACCCAGTGGCTTAAACTAACGCCGGGCGCGTGTGCGTGCATGCCCAAGATCCTGAGAGGAGAATGGAGGAGAAGGGATTGCGGCGTGGCCATCCCCCCTGGGGGGGGGTGATTTCTCGTTTTCTGTCTCTCTGTCTCTCTGTCTGTCTGGTGAGTGCATGCGCCCTATAGCGAAAACCTCTCAAAAAAAAAAAAAAAATTGCAGCTTGACCAGGCCTTGCCGGGGGAATACCTCTCTCTCTCTCTCTCTCTCTCTGTCTCTCACATACATGTTCTCTGGTAAAAACAAATAATAACATCAGGCCAGTCAGTGCATGGCAGGATGGGTAACACAGCGGGCCCCACATGGCCAACAGCATGGCCCAAGTACCGGACCCGGCAGCCTGAACAACACTCCAGGAGCACATGCATGTGTGCCCGAACCCGAGAGAATCCGGGAGAAGGGAATGCGGCATGGCCATCTCCCCTGCTGAGTGATTCCCCACTTTCCCTCTCTGTTTCTCTCTTTCCAACAAGCATATGCACCTTATAGCAAATTATATTTATACATTGAAATTCTTTTAAAAGAGAATTAAAAGAATAAGAGAACAGACCTGTCTAATAAAACATCAACTCTTACACCTCAGAAGCAGATTCGATGAATCACGAGAGAATTTGGCGTATTCACCTGGAGCCTCTCCTGCCCGCCTGCCCCGGGCCCACGAGCCTGGATTGCACAGGTGAGCCCTGAGCAGGTGCGGTCTGCAGCGCTCTCAGAGACGAGACCGTTCAGAACAGAGAGTTTTCCTCCCAACATGCATTGTCCCCATATTCACACTTCCTTCCCGCTTTCTTTATTTTCCTCCCAATCTGCTCGTGCCGTGGTGCCTTCCAGAACTAAGGATGGGATCTTGGGTCTCCTTACAGGCCTCACGTTTTTGGGGTGGTGCAAAAAAGATGCACCTGTAGTCTTCCCTATCACCTGTGAGAGACTGGTGTCCACTGTACGGTAACATTAACAAAGCAGCCGACTCGGTGCCTAAAAAATTACTGGGTCATCAGGAAAGTCGTGATGCATTTCTCTTTGTTTTTTTTCTCTCATTTAAAATAATTAATTCATTTAAATTTGACCAGAGAGAGACACGGAGAGAGGGAGAGAAAGAGAAAGTGAGAAAGCAAGCCACAAGGTCCAGGACTAGAACCATGGTCAGTCATATGGGAGTGTCCAGCACTTTAACCACCATGTCACCTGCTGGTCCCTCTCTTTTTTTTTTTAAGAGAGATTTTTGCTATAGGGCACATGTGCTCGCCAAAGAGACAGAGTGAAACAGAGAGACTTTGGGCATGCATGCACAAGAGCCCAGTGTGAGTTTTAAGCTGGCCGGTGTGAGTTTTAGGCCATGGGGTCCAGGACTCGAACCACAGTCAACTACATGGGAGTCCAGTGACAGAACCCTTACTTCATCTGCTGGTCCCAGTGAAGTATTTTTCTATGCAAAAATACACCATGACTTTTCCAACGACTCACTATTTTCAAGGGTTAGTTTCCTCGTCTGTAAAAGTCCCACATATTCAGATGCGTCGATACTAACTCTATCCCTTTCAAAATGGAAATTTCCTTGAGGAGGTGATGAGACTCAGTAGTTCTAAAACTCTCTTCAGGTGGAATCTAGTGAGTCTGTAGTGGCACCTAACCAACCACTGTACTGGGCAACTTGGAAACACGAAGGATAAGCTCCCAAAAACTCTAGAACGAAAAATATGAGATTCAGACTGTCATACAATTCTGATTTAAATAATGGAGAGTACGGAATATTGGAACAAGGCTTTCAAACGTCTGAGAGAAAATGATTTTGAGGTTAAAACTCTGTACTCAGGAAAAATATCAATTTCGCCCACGGGCCAAGTAATATTTATCTCCTAGACACCCTCAGTCACAGGATGTTGTTATTAGGAAATTACTCAAGGGAATATTCCAGTAAATACAGAAAAAACGCTGAGGTAGGGGCTTCGATAACTTTAGCGACGGAATTCCAGAAAGAAAACCCAGACGGCCACTATGCAGCACACTTGGAAGCTACCAACTTTTGAACAGGAAGGCAACAGACTCCCAAGAATATTTTTATTAAGAACAAAAAGAGGGACCAGCAGATAGCATAATGGTTATATCGCTGAACTCCCCCATGGCCAACCACGGTTTGAGTTCTGGACTCGGCGGCTTGAAATTCACACCAGGCACGTGTGCGTGCCTGCCTGCCCAAAATCTCAAGAGGAGAATGGAGGAGAAGGGATTGTGCCATGGCCATCCCCGCCCCCAGCCCTGGGAAAGATTTCTTGCTTTCTGGCTCTCTTTGTCTCTCCAGTGAGTGCACACCTCCTACAGCAAAAATCTCTCTTAAAAAAAAAAAAAGAATTCCAAGCAACAGAAAGCATGTGTAAGAGACCAGCAATTGGCAAAATGACTATGTCGCTCGACTCCCATGTACTCGACCGCAGTTCAAGTCCCGGACCCAGTGCCTTAGACTCACGCTGGGCGTGTGTGTGTGCATGCCCAAGATCCTAAGAGGAGAATGAAGGAGAAGGGATTGGGGTGTAGCCATTGCCCCTGGGGGGTGATATCTCGCTTTTTATCTCTCTGTCTCTCTCTCTCTGTCTTTCTGGCGAGCATATGCACCCTATAGCAAAAACCTCGCCGAAAAAAAAAAAAGAACCCACGCAAAGCATGCATAAAAGTGCTAACAGACACTAGGAATGTGGGCAATGAAAAGATATTTACCTACTTTAAATTAAAAAAAAAAAAGATAAAACCAATCAGGAACGCTTTGAAAAACAAAAATCTGTACAAAAATATTCAGGTCACATAACTGAGATATAATGGTCACGTACATTTTTCTTCATCACCCCCAAAATGTGAGGCCTATAATGAGGTATAATTTTAAGCAACTGGTAGGTTATAAAACAGAAAACCCATTTAATCTTGACACTGAAAACTACTTGCTCTGAGTGCCACAGGGAACATAATAATACATAATAACAGATAGATCATAATAGAGAAAGGCCATTATTACGACCCACTACATAATAATATTTACATAATTATGACATGTTAGTTATTGGGTTTTTTAAAAGAATTGTAAAATTTTACTTATTACTGGGGCTGGCAGGCAGTGTGGTGGTTGGGATGCTGGACTCCCACATGGCCCACCGCGGTTCAAGTCTCAGACCTGGTGGCTTGCTTTCTCACTTTCCCTTTCTCTCTCTCTCTCTCTTTCTGGTCAAATTAAAATAAATAAATAAAAAAATAAAGTTAAATAAAATAATTCTTTAAATTTTTAAATTTATTTATTATTATTCTTTATTTTTGGGGGGAGAGGTTTTTGCTATAGGGCACGTGCGCTTGCCAGAAAGACAGAGAGATAGAAAGTGAGAAATCACCCCCCGGGGAGATGGCCACACTGCAATCCCTTCTCCATTCTCCTCTCGGGATCTTGGGCACGCACGCACACGCGCCCGGCGTGAGTTTAAGCCATTGGGTCCAGGACTTGAACCATGGTCGACTACATGGAAGTCCAGCGACATAGTCATTACGCTAACTGCTGGTCCCTGTTATTACTCTGTTTTAATTTGCTATAGCGTACATGTCCTCATGATACAGAGAGAGAAAGAGGAAAAGTGAGAAAGCCAGTCTGGGACTCAAACCACAGTCAGTCTGTGGGAGTCCAGCTCTCCAACCAGCATGTCTCCTGCCGGCCCCTATTTACTGGTTTTTAATTTTAGAATCAACCCACATGACTCGATTATGGCTACAGAACAAAACACGAATATCGACTGCTTTGATGATGTAAAGAAAAAGAGCAGACGGGGCTGAGGTGATAAGAGTGGGCGAGGCAGCAAGACGCTGGAGTGCGGGACGACTGCCGTCGCATCTTACCCAAGAGAGTCTGAAATCCACTGCAGAGGTGATGAGAAAGATGGCAGAAGTGGCAGCAGCAACACGGTTTGTTTTTTTAAATGCCAGAAGACACGTGCGCTAGCGGAGAAAGCGAGAGCACCCCTCGGCATCCCTAGGCAGGGCGCCATCGCAGTCATGCCGCATCCTCTCGCCTGCACCTCTCCCTCTGCCAGGGTTCAGGGGCGCTTGCATGTGCACCAGGAGCTGTGAGTTGCTGAGTGGCACTGCAATTGCAGCCAGTCACACAGAACCTGGGGCCCACTGCCATGGGCTTCCACGCTGCGCTTCAGGGTCCGCCAGAAAGATCCCTTGATTTCCCCCAAATCCTCCCATTTAAAAAGAGCAACGAAGCAAAACCAAATCCCATGGACACTACCTACTACCACAAGCCCAAATCCGGAAGGCGAGGGAAACCCAGACCATGGCAAGGCCTGTGCGTCACCCACTACGGGAGAAAGACTGGCCAAAGATCCAAAGTGTATAAATAAGCATTCCCGAGGAGGGAACTGAAACAGAGGAACAGGACAAATACGCTACTATAACAAAAACTGCAATTCATGACAACATAAAAGAAAAAGAAAATATCTGACTATACATATTGAAAACGTTTTCCATGTACTGGAGAAAAATCAACTGAGAATGATCATTTCTACAGCATGGAATTTTAGTGAAATTACTGCACTTCAAAGAAAAAGACAAAGTATACTTGAGTATCTAGGGAGAAACAACACGATGTTAAGAAAAAAATCAAATTTTCATGATATCTTTTTTTCCTTTATGGGAGAAAAAGAGGGAAAGGGAGAGAGAGAAAGGTTTTTTTGTTTTGTTTTTATTTTGCCAAAGGGCAAATGCCCTTGCTAGAGAGACAAAGAGAGAGGGAAAGTGAGAAATCACCCCCGGGGGGATATCCACACCACAGTCCTTTCTCCTCCATTCACCTTCCAGGATTTTGGACACATACACATACACCCGGAATGATTTTCAAGCCACCAGGTCTGAGACTTGAACTGTGATTGGCCACACAGGAGTCCAGAACCTCAACCACCATGCCACCAGCTGGTCCCAGAGATAGGTATTCTGACAGACAGGGTCTCACTGTGTCATGATCCTCCTGCCCCAGACTCCTGGTTAGCTGTGATCAAAGGCATAGTCAGTCACACCCAGAATGTTCAGGTTGGCCCAGGAGCCAAACCTGGCACTCCCATCTGGCTTCCACCTCCCCAGCAATGGTGCTACCTGTGCACCCCCCACAGCTGGCCCTGCCATCGGACTGTGACAGTAACACCTAGAGGTGCTAAGTGGAGGAACATACCTAAGACATTTAATGAGCACTAATACATGCCAAGAATATCGTTAACAGCCAAACTGAGGTTTAAATAGAAAAGATACAGTGGCCAGCAGGTGGCGTCGGGGCTAAGGTGCTGGACACATGGTCGACCACAATAGAGTCCTGAACCTGGAGGTTTACTTTCTCACTCTCCCTCCCTCTCTCTGTGTGTCTCTCTCCGGTCAAACTTAAATAAATGAATGAATAAACTGAATTAATAGTTCTTTAAAAATTAATAAATAAATATAAAAGATACAGACAAAAGTTACCAATATGCAAGAACTCAGGGGAGGCTGTTCCTATGAGTCCTTCCTACAGAATATAACAGAGAACAAGTTTCAAAGTGACCAGAGAAAAGCAGCAGCACAAGGACCCGAAAGCGGTCAGCAAATACATAGTTGTAGCATGGAGTGAGGGAAGGGAGGGAGACAGCACGGTGTATAATGGTAGCTATACTGGGTCGTCGGGAAAGTCATGACATGTTTTTTGCATAGAAAAGCAGAAAAGCATGTCATAACATTTCCGATGACCTAACAGTCTGAATGGGTCCCCCCTGAATCCATGTATTGAATACGGTTGCTACTGTGATGGTATTAGGAGGGTGGAAACTTAGTCCTACTATGGGAATAAGAGGTGAGGTCGCTAGGGTTAGACAAAGCCATCAGAGTGGGCCCATGGTTGAACACCGGTGACTGTGTGAGAGAGAGGGAGACCGGACACAAGCTCTGCCCCGCCAGGAGCCCTCTGCCCGCCATGTTAGGATGCAGGGAGAAGGCTTCAGTAGATGTGGCCCGCAGCCTGCAGTCTCCAAAGCAACGGGCCGAGTAAACCCTGATTCTTTATAAGTTACCCAGTCTGTGATGTTCAATTACGTCAACAGAAAAACAGACTAGAACAATAGGTCAAATTTAAATAAATAAATCAAGTTAAGTAAAATCATTCTCTCTCTTTTTTTTGGAGAAGTTTTTGCTATACGGTGCATGTGCTTGCCAGAAAGACAGAGAGAGACAGAGACAGAAAGTGAGAAATCACCCCCCAGGAGGCATGGCCACGCCACAATCCCTTCTCCTTCATTCTCTTCTTGGGATCTTGGGTGCACATGCACACGCGCCCGGAGTGAGTTTAAGCCACCAGGTCCGGGACTTGAACCGCAGTTGACTACATGGGAGTCCAGCAACATAGCCATTACGACAACTGCTGGCCCCAAAATAATTCTTTAAAAAATAAGAATAAATAGTTGGAAAGTATTGAAACACACCAAATTGTTTGTTTATTTTGTAAATTTTGCCAGAGGGAGTGTGGGCTTACTGGAGAGAGAGAGAGTGGGAGGAAAAATGAGAAATCCTCCACTATGGGGAATGGTCACACTGTAATCCCTTCTTCTCCATCTCTCCTCCTTTTAGGATTTTGAACAAGCATACACATGTGCCTGCCATGTTTGCCAAGCTGCCAGACCCAGGGCTCGAACCCCACAGTCAGCCACGTGTGATTCAGTCACCTTAACCATCACGGGCTGGTTGCACACCAAATTGTTTAAATCCGTGAGTCAATAATGATTAAAAAATTTTTTGAGAGATTTTTGCTATAGGGCGCGTGCGTTCACCAGACAGAGAGAGACATAGAGACAGAAAGTGAGAAATCACCCCCCAGGGGGGATGGTCACGCCACAATCCCTTCTCCTCCATTCTTCTCTCGGGATCTTGGGCACACACGCACATGCGCCCGGCGTGAGTTTTAAGCCACCGGGTCTGGGATGCGAACCGCGGTCGACAACGTGGGAGTCCAGCGACATAGCTATTACGCCAACTGCTGGTCCCCAATAATGATTAAAATTTTTAAATGCCCTGATAAGGCGCTGGATCTTATATGACCAACTCTGCAATTTGAGTCCTGTACCTGGCAGCTTGAAAAACATGCTACTGGGGACCAGCAGGTAATGCGGTGGTTAAGACGCTAGATACTCCCGTATAGCTGACCATGGTTCGAGTCCTGGACCTGGTGGCTTGCTTTCTTACTTTCTCTCTCTCTCTATCTCTCCCTTTCTCTCTCTCTGGTCAAATTAAAATAAATAAAGAAAAGAAAAACATGCTGGGTGCACATGCGTGTATGCCCAAAATCCAGAGAGAAGAATGGGGAAGAAGGCACGGCAGCATGGCCATCAGCCCTGGGGAAGGGGTGATTTCTCACTTTCTCTATCCAGCAAATGCATGCGCCCCATGGAAAACACACACACACACACACACACACACACACACACATTCTGCGCCCCATGGAAAAAACACACACACACACACACACACACACACACACACATTCTGCAAAAGTAATAGTAACTTACCCAAAACGACTCTAAAGTCCTCCCCATCCAAGTGTAACACCCACGTGTTGGTGGTCTTTGATCTGTTCTCCATGTACTTCTTGAGACTTTTTCCATTGATTTCCAGGGTATATTCATAAGCAAACCCACTGACGGCATCTATATTTATGGTGGCTTTTGTCTTCGCAGCTCCGACACAGAAGGTTTCTTTGCCCACTAGTTTGAACATCCATTCTTTTCTTATCTCTTCCTAGGAAAGAAAATAAAAAATTCAAAACATACAAATGGAACAAAAATTAATATTTAATTTTAGAAACAATAACAAAAGTGACCAAATGTCAGCGCTATTAGATATACTAATTCATGACATGCCAAAGTTTTAGAAAATAAAGGCATGTCTTTCTTTTGGAGAGTTTTTTTTTTGTGTGTGGGGGGCACATGCGCTTGCCAGAGAGACAGAGAGACAGAAAGCGAGAAATCACCCCGCAGGAGGGAGGGCCATGTTGTAATCCCTTCCCTTCCATTCTCCTTTTGGGATTTTGGGCACACACACACACACATGTGCCCCGTGTGAAGTTTAAGCCGCCAGGTCCAGGACTCGAACCACTGTCAATTGCATGGGAGTTCAACAGTATAACTATTACATTATCCACTGGTCCCAAAAATAAAGGCATTTCAAGTTTAAGTATTAGGTGTAGGGGCCAGGTGGTGGTGTAATGGTAACACAACTGGACTCAGATGGGAAAGATCCTGGGTTCACATCCTGGGCCCTGTGTGAGTACGCCATGCGCACACGCGTGTGCAACAGCTCTGGGCCGGCTAAGAGTGGAAGTGGGTCACGGTGTGGGGACCCTACTTGGTGTGCCTGTCTCTCTCACAGAAGAGATACAATTTTAGTGGCCTAGATTGTGTATTGTCTATAAATTATTATCACCATTACTAGTTTGCTTTGTACAATAAAAAGATATAGGCCAAAAATACAAAGATAAACACTGTAAGAGAAAAAAGGGAACGAAGCCCTGAGTTCATAGACAGAAAAGCTACGTTCACCAAAGCAGGTTCCTCCGCCCACCGCCATTTACGAGGTGACCTTGTTCTCCCCTACCTTCCCGTCCACATACACCACTCGCTTGCCCGAGGTGGTCCCGTGTTCAAACTCAATCTTGTGCACTCCGTCGCTCAGCGCCACGTCCCAGACAGCTACCAGATCTGTCATCCTGTCCAGGCTACAGGGAGGGCTAGAGGAGGAACACAGTGAAGCGATTACAACGGGCCAGACACATTCGCAGGATGACCAGTGAATTCTTCTAAAAGGAAAACAGCAGACTTTAAAACCCCTAAAATGACACGCTACTGAAGTGACATTACGTAGGAAATGCTACTCACGGGACATGTAACTGTTTTCTCGCTCTTATGCGCTCTTTCTCTAAGACACTACTCTGTGTGGTGTGTAGTCCGGTAATTCCAAACAATGTCACTTTAACGGTAATAGGATTGAGACTGCCCGTTTATCCTGGCAGTATTCTAGGCCAGGGAAGGTCAGGAAAAGGTCTCTACCTCTCCCTTCTCTGAAGCCCATTCCACAAGCACAGTAACTAATTTGCTTTCTTTTTCAGATCTGATCACTCCAAGGCAAGAACTCGCCAAACCTCCCATAGTTCAAAAAATAACTTGGGATTCATTTTAACACAAAGGCTTCTCAGTTATTATATTAAGACTGAGGGAGGAAAAAAAAAAAAAAAATCGTAAAAGAAACGTGGAGAGGGACATAAAAATAATACAAGAAATGTTATAAGGAACTAATTCTTGGCATTCCTACAGGAAATCTCATTTAGAAAATAAAGGCTTCTAGTTTGTCAAACATTTCTGGCACAACTTAATATTTTGATAATAAAATTCTTTTATGAGATAAACGATATGTAACGTGTCCTCTATGAACGACATATTTAAATTCACATATAATATACAGTTCGTGTTTTGATACAGCTTTAAGCTTCGACAGAAGTAAAGTGTAGAGTCACAGTGGACACAGGTGGCAGCGGTTAGGCGCCTCCTGGGTGCCGCTCTGCCCTGACTTTTACGTAGGTTCACCCAGCAAATCCTCACCATGATGTGGGTACTGTCAAGTGTTCTTTTACAAACGAGGCTCAGAGAGGCTAAGGGCATGCCCAGGGTCACCACGATCGTAAGTGGCAGAGACAGGATTTAGAACCAGGCCTCTGGCCCCTGAGCCCATCCTCAAACTCCATCTTTCTCTCTCATCTCCTTGGTGGTCCCTACATCGGTGACAGCAAATGCATTTTCTATCATTGAGGCGGTTGCCAAGAACCCAGGGCCGAGAGGAATCTGGAGGCTTCCAGCGGGTGCTGTGGAAAAGGGTGCCAGGCTCCTGTGACCAGCTCCACGCCAGGGATCCCCTACGCTTACTCTAAATGACAGCACAGCAGAACCACTCACTCAGCACGTTCTCCCACTGTGCCCTGAAATCGAGCGGCGTGGAGAAATAACTCTTCGGAAATGCTAACAGCAATCTTGAACTTGCCAAAGGCCAGTTGGACGGCAATGCAGGACATTTACCTTTCATCATCTTCAAAGATAGGACTGCCATCTCCGGATGCCATAGCTGGCAACACAGTCTTTAATCCAAGTAGCAGCCAGGAAAGAAAAGAGCAGAATTGCAGCAGAGAGAGATGGTGAGCGACAGAGATGAAACCTACGAAGCGCGTTTCTAACCATGCAACCACTTCTTAAGTTCAGGCAGTTTCTTGTGAAACAGGTTTTCACACAACGGAATGGCAATCTTGCGTGTTTAGAGGAAGGAGTGGAATCATGCAAATCAATCATATTTTTCCAGTTATGTATTTGTGATTTCTTAAAAGCATCATTTCTTAAAACTAGAGAATCCACTCTCATTGATTTTAAATATTAATATTATCACATATCGGAGCTGCAAGAGCACGGAGAGAGCTTCTCAAATCAAAGCAAAAGAAACCCCATGGGTCAGGGACTACCTAAACCTCTGAGATAAACAAGCTGCACCTCTGGGAGCGTCGATGGTACAGGGTGGAAATACACGGAAAACGCAATCTTTTTTTTTTTGGAGAGGTTTTCGCTAGAGGGCGCGTGCGCTCACCAGACAGACAGAGAGAGACAGAGAGACAGAGAGACAGAAAGCGAGAAATCACCCCCTGGGGGGATGGCCACACCGCAATCCCTTCTCCTCCATTCTCCTCTCGGGATCTTGGGCACGCACGCACACGCGCCCGGCGTAAGTTTAAGCCACTGGGTCTGGGACTCAAACCACTGTCGACTATGTGGGAGTCCAGCAACATAGCCATTACGATAACTACTAGTCCCGAAAATGCAATCTTTATGTTAAATTTTAGAAAGCTGAGCTATCATTTATTTTATTTATTTTTATTTTTTGTGGAAAGCAGCTAAGGATGAACTGGCTGGTTCATTCTCTCTTCCTTTTTTTTAGGGGGGGGAGAGATGTTCGCTATAGGGCACGTGTGCTTCCCAGAAAGATACAGAGAGACAGAAAGCAAGAAATCACCCGCAATCCCTTCTCCTCTAGGGATCTTGGACACGCACGTATACAGCGTTGAGTTTAAACCGCCGGGTCCGGGACTCAAATCGAGGTCAACTACGTGGCAGTCCAGTGACATAGCCATTATGCTAACTGCTGGTCCCTGAGTGAGCTAAGTGGAAAGGGCGCCGCGCTCACGGCTCACTGCCCAACGCGCACCGCCCAAGTCAGCAGCACACATACACACTCGACGCGGAGGAAGCCCTCCGCATGTGAAGCCTGGGATTGACTCTTGTACACTTAGCCAAATTATCATTAATTCAACTATTTTTTGCTTCCGAGATCTTCTTTAATAAGCTCTCAATAAATAGAGATTTATGTAACAGAGTATGTGCGCTCGCGGGAGAAACAGAGACGGACTTAGAAAGCGAGAAATCACTCCCCTAGGGAGAATGGCCACGCTGCAACTCCTCCTCCTTCCTCCCTTCTCTCGGGATCTTGGGCACTCACACACGGGGCAGGAACGAAAACCATGGTCAATTACCTGGGAGTCCAGTGACATAACCATGCTATCAGCTGGTCCCAATAAGCTCTCCTCTTTTATTTATTTATTTATTTTTAAAGAATTATTTAATTCCATTTGTTTGTTTTGTCTTAATTTGACCAGAGACAGAGAAACTGAAAGTGAGAAAGCAAGTCGCCAGGTCCAGGACTCAAGCCATGATAGGCCAAGTGGGAATCCAACGCCTTTAACCACACACCACCTGCCAGCCCAAGCCCTCTTTTTTCTTTTTTACAAATTGTTTTATTTAACTTTATTTATTTATTTTAATTTGACCAGAGAGGGACAGAGAGAGAGAGAGAGAGAAAGCAAGTCACCAGGTTCAGGATTTGAACCATGGTAGGCCATATGGGAGTCTAATGCCCTTAACCACCAGGCCACCTGCTGGCCCCCATCAAGCTCTCTTCTTAATGAGACTTTTCCCTTTCCATGCCTAAGGGTGCCCTTTCCTCATCAAAAAAATAGGAGAGAGGGACCAGCAGTTGGCGTAATGGCTATGTCGCTGGGCTCTCACATATCCTTAATACGTTTCTTATCTAGAATATGTAAAGAACTACAAAAGGACATTAACGGACATCATCAACAAAGGGTAAAGACAACTTACAGAATAAGAGGAAATATTTGGAAATCATGTATCTGGTAAGAGTTTTATACCTAGAATATATAAACAACTACAACTCAAGAACAAAAAAGATAAACAACTCAATTAAAATAATAGGCAAAGGACTTGAATAGACATTGCTCCAGTGAAGACATATAGATAGCCAATAAACACACGAAACTACTAAACACCATTAGTTTTGCAGGGAATGCAAACCAAAACCATAAATGGGTACAACTTCACACCTCCTAAGATTGCTATAATAAAAAAAAAAAATGGAAAATGATGTATGTTGGGTGGATGTGGAGAAATTAGAACCCTTGTACCTTGGGGGTCAGAATGTAAAATGGGGGCCAGTAAGGTGGTGAAGGGGGCTGGATCCCTACTTGGCTGACTTCATGGTTCAAGTCCTAGAACCAGCAGCTTGAAAAATATGGTAGACATGTGTGCATGTGTGCCCAAAATCCCAAGAGGATAATGGAGGAGAAGGGATTGCAGTGTGGACATCACTACTTGGGGGTGCTTTCTCACTTTCCCTCTTTTTCTCTCTGATGAATGCATGTGCCCTACAGCAAAAAAAAAAAAAAGAAAAAAAATTAATAAATTTTAAAAGAATGTAAAACGGTACAGTTGCTGTGGAAAACCATATGGCAGGTTTTCAAAAACCCAAGCCAAGGGGACCAGCAGTTAGCATAATGGCTATGTCGCTGAACTCCCACGTAGCTGACCACAGTTCGAGTCCCAGACCCACTGGCTTAAACTCACGCCGGGCG